ATGGACGGACGGACCAGCGATGTTAAACCAAAAATATGGTGTTTGGTTCATCAAAGCTAGGGACGGACCAGCGATGTTAAACCATATATATGGTGTTTGGTTCAGCTTGGATCTTAAGCCATATATTTGGTGCTTGGTTCATGACAGCTATGGACGGACGGCCCAGCGATGTTAAACCAAAAGTATGGTGCTTGGTTCATCACAGCTATGGACGGACGGACCACCGATGTTAAACCATATCTATGGTGTTTGATTCATCACAGCTAGGGACGGATGGACCCGTGATGTTAAACCATAAATATGGTGTTTGGTTCATCGCAGCTATGGACGGACGGACCAGCGATGTTAAACCAAAAATATGGTGTTTGGTTCAGCAAAGCTAGGGACGGACCAGCGATGTTAAGCCATATATTTGGTATTTGGTTCATCACAGATAGGGACGGATGGACCAGCGATGTTAAACCATAAACATGGTGTTTGGTTCATCACAGCTAGCGACGGACCAGCGATGCTAAACCATATATATGGTGTTTGGTTCATCACAGCTAGTGACCTACCAGCGATGTTAAACCATATATTTGATGTTTGGTTCATCACAGCTAGGGACGGATTGACCCGTAATGTTAAACCATAAATATGGTGTTTGGTTCAGCACAGCTAGGGACGGACTAGCGATGTTAAACCATATATATGGTGTTTGGTTCATCACAGCTAGGGACGATCCAGCGATGTTAAACCTATATCTGGTGTTTAGTTCGTCACAGCTAGGGACTGACGGACGAGCGATGTTAAACCATATACATGGTGTTTGGATCATCAGAGCTAGGGACGGACCAGCGATGTTAAACCATATAAATGGTGTCTGGTTCATCACAGCTTGGGACGAACCAGCGATGTTAAACCATATATATGGTGTTTGGTTCATCACAGCTAGGTACGGACGGACCAGCGATGTTAAACCAAAAATATGGTGTTTGGTTCAGCACAGCTATGAACGGACGGACCAGTGATGTTAAACCATATATATGGTGTTTGGTTCAGCACAGCTAGGGACGGACGGACCAGCGATTTTAAACCAAAACTATGGTGTTTGGTTCATCACAACTAGTCTCGGACCAGCGATGTTAAACCATATATATGGTGTTTGGTTCAGCACAGCTAGAAACGGACGGACCAGTTATGTTAGACCATATATTTGGTGTTTGGTTCATCACAGCCAGGGACGGATGAACCCGTGATGTTAAACCATAAATATGGTGTTTGGTTCATTACAGCTATGGACGGACGGACCAGCGAAGTTAAACCAACAATATGGTGTTTGGTTCATCACAACTATGAACGGACGGACCAACGATGTTAAACCATATATTTGGTGTTTGGTTCATCACAGCCAGGGACGGATGAACCCGTGATGTTAAACCATAAATATGGTGTTTGGTTCATTACAGCTATGGACGGACGGACCAGCGAAGTTAAACCAACAATATGGTGTTTGGTTCATCACAACTATGAACGGACGGACCAACGATGTTAAACCATATATTTGGTTTTTGGTTCATCACAACTAGGGACGGATGAACCTGTGATGTTAAGCCATAAATATGGTGTTTGGTTCATCGCAGCTATGGAGGGACGGACAAGCGATGTTAAACCAAAAATACGGTGTTTGGTTCATCACACCTAGGGACGGACCAGCGATGTTAAACCACATATATGGTGTTTGGTTCAGCACAGCTATGGACCAACCAGCGATGTTAAACCAACATATAGTGTTTGGTTCAGTAGAGCTAGGAACGGACGAACCAGTGATGCTATACCATAGATTTGGAGTTTGGTTCATCACAGCTAGGGACGTACCAGCGATGTTAAACCATATATATGGTGTTTGGTTCATCACAGCTAGAAACGGACCGACCAGGGATGCTAAACCATCTATTTGGTGTTTGGTTCATCACAGCTAGGGACGGATGAACCCTTGATGTTAAACCATAAATATGGTGTTTGATTCATCGCAGCTGTGGACGGACGGACCAGCGATCTTAAACCAAAAATATGGTGTTTGGTTCAGCACAGCTATGGACGGACCAGCGATGTTAAACCAAAAGTATGGTGTTTGGTTCATCAAAGCTAGGGACGGACCAGCGATGTTAAGCCATATATTTGGTATTTGGTTCAGCACAGCTAAGGACGGACCAGCGATGCTAAACCAAAAATATGGTGTTTGGTTCATCACAGCTATGGACGGACCAGCGATGTTAAACCACATATATGGTGTTTGGTTCAGCACAGCTAGGGACGAACCAGCGATGTTAAACGATATATATGGTGTTTGGTTCATCACAGCTAGAAACGGACGGACCAGCGATGCTAAACCATATTTTTGGTGTTTGGTTCATCACAGCTAGGGACAGATGAACCCTTGATGTTAAACCATAAATATGATGTTTGGTTCATCGCAGCTATGGACGGACGGACAAGCGATGTTAAACCAAAAATATGGTGTTTATTTCAGCACAGCTATGGACGGACCAGCGAAGTTAAACGAAAAATATGGTGTTTGGTTCATCACAGCTATGGACGGACGGACCAGCTATGTTAAACCAACAATATGGTGTTTGGTTCATCACAACTATGGACGGACGGACCAGCGACGTTAAGCCAAAATTATGGTGTTTGGTTCATCACAACTAGTCTCGGACCAGCGATGTTAAACCATATATATGGTGTTTGGTTCAGCACAGCTAGAAACGGACGGGCCAGCGATGTTAAACCATTTATTTGGTGTTTGGTTCATCACAGCTAGGGACGGATGAACCCGTGATGTTAAACCAAAAATATGGTGTTTGGTTCATCGCAGCTATGGACGGACGGACCAGCGATGTTAAACCAAAAATATGGTGTTTGGTTCATCACAGCTAGGGACGGACCAGCGATGTTAAACCAAAAATATGGTGTTTGGTTCATCACAGCTATGGACGGACCAGCGATGTTAAACCAAAAATATGGTGTTTGGTTCAGCACAGCTAGGGACGGACCAGCGATGTTAAACCATATATTTGGTGTTTGGTTCATCACAGCTAGGGACGGATGAACCCGTGATGTTAAACCTTAAATATGGTGTTTGGTTCATCACAGCTATGGACTGACGGACCAGCGATGTTAAACCAAAAATATGGTGTTTGGTTCAGCACAGCTATGGACAGACGGACCAGCGATGTTAAACCATATATTTGGTGTTTGGTTCATCACAGCTAGGGACGGATGGACCCGTGATGTTAAACCATAAATATGGTGTTTGGTTCAGCACAGCTAGGGACGGACCAGCGATGTTTAACCATATATAAGGTGTTTGGTTCAGCACAGCTAGGGACGGACCAGCGATGTTTAACCATATATATGGTATTTGGTTCAGCACAGCTAGGGACGGAGAGACCAGCGATGTTAAACCATATATTTAGTGTTTGGTTAATCACAGCTAGCGGCGGACCAGCCACGCGTTGAGGAGTTGATTCCGATTCAAAGGTTTCAGAATATCATGTTGAAGGTTGACAATATATGGATGAACAACATTTTTATAACGTTTCGGTGTAGGTAGAACGGAGAAAATAGAACCTACATCGAAACGTCGCTCTCGCTGTAATAAAGTAGTGGTTCATCCATATGTTTTGATCCTTCCTTTGATCCAACTTCTATTCACATCTCAAAGAAGATTACAATGTTACGACAGCGGTCAGGAATGTTGACCATGATCGGTGTGGTGGACAAAGAGTCATGCTTTGTTTTGACACACGGGAATTGATTTGGTTGTGAACTGACATTTGAAATACACAGTATGTTTTTTGTGTGTTTTGGTTGGTTTTTTTTCTGGTTTTGTTTTCTTGGTTGTTTTTGTTCTAATTGTGCGTCCTGTTGTAATACTTCGGAATCCCAGAATACAATATAGGGACGGGTGATATGTCAGGGTAATAAGCCTTGACCATGATCGGTAAGTTGGCGATAGAGTTATGGCGTTTGACACATGACAGGCGAGTTGATTTGTTTGCTGTGAACATGCATTTGACTGACCAGGAATACTGTTCTTCTTCTTCTCTTTGCTGCGTCCTGTGTTCCCTCTACAGTAACTGTCAGCAGTATAATTCATTGACAACAGACAACACCCTGCCCAGCTCGTCACCATTTACTTCCTCTTAAATATATTGATAACCACCGTAAATAGAAACAATATATAGTCATTTCACATTCTCTTTCGTGCCTGCTGGTTTTAAAAATAAATATCTCAGAAACACATTTTTATTCACATAATCAGGTTTTACAATAATCTTGCTACTGGCCAGTGCGACATCGTCTTTAGTTGGTTAGCCAGCCATGTTGGAATTTATTGGAACACAATGGTCGATTGTTCTGCTAAGGCAGCACTCGACAAGTCTCTGACACCACCTCTGATACAATATTGTAAAGTTATTGTCGTTGAATACATGTTAATTAACTGAACTGGCAACAGCTGAAGGGATGGTGTCAATCCAGCTAGGGTCCATGCAGGTAGTGAAAGTACTGTAAGTCCCCATGGCTCCTAGTATGGTGCTATACCTTCAGTTGCTGGCGATCTTTAGCCTGGTTTTACCTTGTGTACTGCCCGTATCGTGATATTATTTTATCACTAAATGCTAGTTCTAAATCTAACTGTGATACTCTGTTTTGCTCATATGAAACATTTATTCCTTACCAATGTCAAATTGGTTCTCGTCACAATATGGCTGAAATATCAGTGATGTGAGAGTGTGCCCAGATTCCAACTTGAACAGCTCTATAAGCAATCTGACGGAATATTATATGTAATACCTTACGTGTTCTTGTGTGTGTCAAATAGTGGTTAACATCCTGTGTCATTTCAGACTTAGACACGCTGTTGCGACCAGATTACCCAGTGTCTATATGAGTTAAAAGATAATCAGAGGAATGTGAAGTGGTAACGGCATTGTAAGCAAAATGAAAACCCTTACCGCCATAGTACTGCCATCCAGGCTCAGAGGAGCCATCACTGTTAGAGTCGAAGGCTGCAGAGTGTAGTCTACACTTTCTGGTGAGAGGGTTGTACAAGACCAGGTTACACAGCTTCCGCCATTGACACTCAGAGAAACATTCAGCCCTCATGTCCACCTGGTTCATCTCTTCTACAAGACCTCCAGTAAACACCAGATCATCCATCTCAGACCTTCTGTGGAATGTCACATTGGTGCAAGTGTCCATGTTGTACACCAACTGACTTAAACCACTGGGAACATAAGTGGCGCTGAACAGAACGTAAACAGTTAGCAGTGACATCTTGGTGTACATGAGGCTCAGATCTACCCCGCTCTTCACCAGAAAGTCACATACCTCATGATGTTCAGATCTACCTCTGGTAGCATACACAGTCACATCGTGTGGATGCAACTACCTATTTGTAATAACAACAGTCTTGTATCTGGGTAGATATGGTACAATGTATTTTTTTGTTCATTTGTTACCACATCAAGGAGACAACAATGAAGTGGCATCAGCGGCTCAGAACATTGCATTTCTAATTACTTTCCTTGGTCGTGACTTTCTAAATGCTTTCTTTATAACATGCATTTTTAAGTATGTTTAAACAAATACGTGTTATTGGCTTATTAACGATTCTTTAGAAGGAACCGACTCAAAGCAATAACAGTCTCCTAGGAATAAACAAGTCGGAAAGAACAACTTATTTGGTCTAGTGCAGTTACTTGTCGCATTGGGAATCTATATCTGAATAACACGAATCGATATCTGAATAACACGAATCGATATCTGAATAACACGAATCGATACTGGTGTTGGCAAAACTGATTAGGTCAAGCTCAATTATTTATGGACACAAATCATCCATGAAACATCGTGGTAACCGAATTATTCGCACTGTATGTGACTCTACTATTCAAAGTCACCCGACGTGAATCGTCACGTCGGTTACAAAGAGTATATATGAAGTCGAGGGGTAGACTAGAATAGCGTACTGACGTCAATTCAGTTGCACATGGTGCAAAACGAATCAATAAGCTATCGTGTGGGACGGGTACAGTATTTTAACATGACGCCACCATATGGGACCTAAACAAAACAGGTGTTGAAGGTGGTACGATCACAGGACATCGATGCGATTGTTTTCCATTCACTTGAAGGTGCTAGTGTAGTGTCAACAGGTAACAAAATAAAAAAGTCCAGTACACCCTTATGTGCGCAGTGATGATGTAAATAACTGATTTTGTTTCGTTCTCGGTTTCCTGTTCCAGTTTTAGATTTGCCATTGTGCATGTCGATACTGACGTCATCAACACTGTTCCAAAAGATGGAACTCGAACACCATTGTCTCCGACGACAACACATTTTCCTGTTATACAGGGGCATCATGGTAAGCGGTGCCAGTCAAGTTTGTCTCATGTTACACAGGCTTACCCAGACAGTACCCGGTAGGTTGAAGGTGATCTGCAATGCAGACTGAGAATGGTGACAGATCCAGACAAATTGCCACACAAGGTTTTCCAAGATGTTTAAACTTGGTAGCATAAATTTATCTCAAAAACGAAATGTGTTCTGGTTAAGTTCATAGTGTTACTGAGGAAGTAACACTTTTGCATAACTAATACAAGATTTGATAAAAGATGTACAACAGGTGAAGTTGAAACTCTTTTAGCGATTCCAGGCTGGACAATGATTCCTTAGTTTTTCATTGCAAGAGTAGAATCTAGATTTGGTATTTCGAGCAAGGCTGTGTCATTGTACGCAATTTTTCCCTTGTCAGGGTTCTATAAATGTTTCGAAATGAAACAATGTGCCATATTAATGTCTTTTCTCCATACGCGGAACATACAGAGGAACTGACTTTTGGCTTTGCTGTGTGGATGAAGCTAAGGCTAGAAGTGTTTAGAGACACAAATGAAAAGTAAAATGACTTATTTTTACTAAATGGTAGCAGTTTTGTTCTGTAAAGACTTTCGCAATATATTCCTTGCATGTATATATTTCTGTTTAATGACATACACAAGCACAAAATAGGTGACAGAAGTTCGCATAGCATGAAAATGGTGATGAACTCTCATCGACCAAACTGGATGTGACAATCTTAAGATATTAAGGATAATAAAACCAGTCAAATGCATAAAATTCCATAACTGTTAACAGCTATCTCTGCTATCATTTGCTCACATTTACGTTCTTACATAGGCTACATAGAGATACATGTCACATTACCGTTGTGTTGTGGTGTGGTGTGTTGTGGTGTGGGGTGCGTTGCGTTGCGTTGCGGTGCGGTGCGGTGCGGTGCGGTGCGGTGCGGGGCTGTGCGGTAACCTAAAACATAAACCGTGAATCTAGACTAGATGTGACAGCAACAAACCACAAAGACAGTAATGTAAATAACTAATAGTATTCTAAAAGTAACCACAAATTGATACAGATCACTGTGGAAGTGTACCTACGGCAGTACAGGTAGACTGGCAGTATACATTAAAAAAGTAATATATAACAAGAGTAGGCAGTGTCATGATGGAAAAAGTGCACTCCCAAAATAACACAATTACACTCACGTGAAATATGTCATTACAAGCGCGCTACTTGTCCACATTAACTTCTATTTGGTGTAGTTTTGACTACCACACATGGTATCGGGTGTGGTTCTGTGAAATATATTGCTGAACTCTGAAAGAAATCAACTTATCTATCAGCCAGAGTGAGTTAATAAACATATACGGTACTAACAAATGTATTTTTACCGAGGTGGTGTTTTACTTGCAATGGCAACCATCCTTTGTCCAAGACTATACAATCAAGACGCCGGATAATCCTTCGAAAGCCGAATCAAAGTTCATATTAATAGCACTAGTACATTAGTAAGTAAGCAAAACATAAACAATTTATCATCTTTTCAGACTCTCTTTCTTGTCATCTACCAATCACACAACCACGTTTAATCGAAATTGTTGAATTAGTTAATGAACTTGCTACCTGCCAACATGGCATTGTCTCACCCACCCATGTCGGAATTACTGGCCAAGACAGCCCTACAAATATGTAACTCATTTTCTTATTCCATATTTCAATGTATGGAGGTTATTTTCGCTCTTGGAATATTGCTAAATGCGGCGTAAAAGCATACTCACCCACTCACACTGATTCCATACAGCGATAACAAAGTTGTTATAAGATTCGTGATCTAATGCAAAAGAAGTAGGATGCACAAGTAAGCATCAATAAATTAAAGGAAATTTAACCAAATATTGGTTATACCTACTTGGGTTTGAAGTGTATGTTGACTGTGTTGATTTTTCCATCACACGGGATAAATATTTGAAATCACTAACATTGAAGGATTTAATCATGAACTTATTTTTTTTAAAGAAATTGATTTGATTGATAAAATTGTATTAAGTACTGTCATTAAGCAGTTAATTTTAACTTTGGTCGAATAAATCCTAAACTGATTGTCAATGGCTGTACCCTCAAGGTTGGTTGAAGTCGTGTAAAATATTTGTTTGTCGTTGATGGTGTGTACAACCACATCATTCAAAGTATGTTCCTATTAACAATGAAACAACATACATTGTAATTGACAAAGAAAACAGCATAATTGCCATAATTGGTTAAGCAGTAAGGTGATGAAGCCAGTGAGTACACAAAGGATAGACAAAGGAAGCCAGGGGTGTATAAATACAGGAGTAGTTACAATGAACTATAGTATATATATATTGTTATATTCAGTATAAATATGCAGCTCCTCCACTTTATGTATCACTCTTGCTTGACAACGGTACAAGAATATGTATCGAAACGTCGCACTCACGAAATAAAGAAGTTGTTATCCATAAAAAACGTGTTCCATATTGTACGTCTCAACTTCTAGAATTGCCACTCATACAAGGCCCTGATGATGTGTGTCTCTTAGTACCGTCAAACATAACTGTTTGAAACTTTGCAGAGATATTCACTATGACAAGCGTAAGTTGAAATAAAACAACACACGTGTCAATTAGATGTTACAAAAGGACACAAACTAAGGAAATACTATGTCTTCCACTGGCATTTAGAAGTTGTACATTGATGTGCAAGATATTTTTATGGATTAAGAGAAATTAAAAAAAGACGTTTAATCCATAAAAAAATCTTGGACATGAGGAAATATGGATTGTAGACACCTTTTAACATATCTTTGTTGTTATTGTTTTAGTCCAAATATGTTACATAGCGGCGCTCCCAGGCCGGAATATCCAAAGTGAAAGTTGAACCAAATGCTAGTGGAATGAACTTCGTTAAGGCCTCAAAGCAATTCTTAATTCGGTTGCCTGCAAAGAAGTAAACACTTTCTAGCATGTGTCACTTGATATTTGTTTCATGGCCTTTTGGCAAGTATGGATATGACTATAGTCCGTTTGGATCAAAAGCGGACGGTAGAAATGCAATCTGACTCGAAAACTACTAAACATTTAATGTTCAATGAAACAACTTTTTTTTATTATTAGGACATAAATTCTGCAAAAGAATCACAGAGTTGGTCTGATGTTTTGATTTAATTGGGTATTATATATTTAGTAGTTTTCGAGTTAGACTGCAATTCATTAATCCGCTTTTAAGCCAAACTGACCATAACTGAACACGATACACTAGAGCTCACCTAACAAAGGCACCACAGCCTGATGTTGGCACATTGGATTCATCATATCACTAAAACGTGTTCTTTACAATTTGAAGCAGTCGTAAAATAAACAACGAAACTGTGACTGTGTTGGCTCTCATTTCAATGGCTGGTTGTTTGGTTGTCTACACAGACAAATGCAGCTTTCTATCTCGTGAGGGAAGTGTTTGTATGATCTGATGATGCTCTGGGTGAAATACTGAAGAGAGGAACCGAGATGGCAGAGAAACTGTCAAAACTGAAGTTGGTCTCCCACGCATAGTTTGCTTTATTTGTATCTTTATTTAACGCACTCGGTAATATCCAACGTCAGTAAATAGTCCAGTCTGAACCACAGTATCCAGTGATTAACATCATGAGCATCGATTTTCGTATTTGGGATGTAATGACATATCATAGAGATTGGTTAGACAGGTGACATTTGACTTTGTATTTAAATGTGTTTGAATTTAGAATTGATCACGCGCTATATGGCTGGAATAATACCGATTTGAGGTAAACCTTAACTCAACTCAACACAGCAGGTGCTGGATCCGCCAATGTCAATTATTACGAATACCAAACATTGGTGTTGATCTTCTAGTTGTAGTTTGAAGTGTTGCTGCTCATTACAACACATACAGATTCCAATATCAGGATTCCAGGCACCATCGTGAGCTGCAAAATATTCTCTTGGGG